ACCTCAAAGCCCATCCCCAGTGGGCTTTGGGAAGAATCGCAGCATTAGGAAGGTCAAGAAGCGCTCACCACACGGAGCTGGGAGACATTCTGAACATGTCTATGTTTAAAGGTGCCGTTCCTTCTGCTGCCTTGCTTCCTTCCCAAAGTGCAGCCCAGAAACTCAAACCTGATATCACCACCTGAGCTCATGCTAGAGGGGACAGCCTCAGACCTCACTTTCACCAGACTTGCTGAACCAGTGTCTGAAAAGTCCCCAAGTGATCCTTATGAATTATAGGCACAATAAACTTGGGAAACTTTTGATCTAGTGCTTATTAACATATTACCAACCTAACTGGATCCACATGTGGTCATTTTACTGAATCCTTATTTCTCACCCCTAGGCTTTAAGTATATTGTCTCATTTAACCCACGTAATAGCTCCTTGAGGCAATTGCCACCATCTCCAGGTTAGGAATTCATAAACTGAGGCTCAAGTGGGTAAACCAGCTGCTCTAAGAGCCATAGACAATGAGCAGGGGCTGAACCTAACCAGTCTGACCATAAACCATCCTCCAAACTGCACCAACTCCTGTCAATGTCCATTTATGTATTTCAGTGCTGGCAGATTTAACTGCTCAGGATGGCCACATGGTCTACCAACTTAACATAGATTTTGTTGGTTTATTACAGTTCATGTTGGCAGTCTTTCTAAAGGCACAGCAGATCATCCTGCCTTGGGACAGCATTCTGAATACTAAAGACATGCTAGTGCTTGATTAATGGAGAAAAACATGATAATCAGACCTCTGAAGGGAACACTAAGCTACTGCCTTAATAGTAAACTCCATGTATGACCAGTTCTTTCCTCTGAAAAGTAAAGTAGTAAAAAAAAAAAAAAAAAATAGTGGGGGGCTAGTTCTGAAATAAATGACTGGTTGGGTTCCACTCAGTGAGTTTCGTCTGATGTCTAGCTTCTTTATATTTTAATTGCTTTATTATGCTGTTTTTCAGCTGGATTCCACAGCAATCCACATTATTTTTAAGCCTAGCCTCCTCCTTCTTTGTCTATATCCTATATTTGGCTATCCCAGAGGTGATTACATATCTGAAATACAATTTATCTGTCTTCAGCCCCCACCTTGCTGAGAGTAAAATGCATGTTTCAGATGTTCTACACGGAAAACTACATATTCTCTAATCCACACATGACAGGACATATTGTCACAAGGCTACCCTGAGGGGACCCCCACAGGCATCAAGATCAACACCAGCTCTGTTACTAAGGGAGAGGCCCGCCTCAAGCGGCCCACCCAGCTTTGGGAACTCTCTCTAGGGGCTCTCCACCTGACATACTGTATGACCACTTAGTCCAAGAGGAAACTACAGTTGATTGAATCCAGACAGGTCAAGAGCTTCAGCGGTATTCTAGGGCCTGGATTGGAGACAGAACATTCTTTCAGAGAGCAGAAATGACAAGCTGAAATTAGGAAGTCATCAGTTCCCAGGCCCATGGAGTTTCTTAGCGAGCTATGAACAAGGAAAGGCAAATGAAGCAAGATTGGATTAGAAAATCAGACTGTACCAAGTACCTGGTCCTTAACATGCTCTGGTTCCCATCCTTCCTTCTACTGTGACTGCCTCCAAAACTCCCGAGATACTTAAAAATTTTCCTGTAACCTATTTGTGTTGTTATGGCTGGAAGTCACAATGCTTTAAGAACAATAAAGTGGCTATTTCTAAAGACAGTATTTGTTTTATATAAGTTTCTTTCTGCAGACAGCAACTGTGTCTTCCGTCATATATCTAAACAGGGTTTGAAATACTAATTTCCAAATAGCTCACATTTCACAGTGGATAAAAATCTCTGAGAATATCCATTTAAAACAAGTCTTGGCTCATTGCATTCAACACACTCCCTACACTATTAAAATGCCACTTTAGGAAGCTAACTGCTTGATCATTTTTAGTTTAATTTCCAATGTAACAAGATAAAACTGCCTTCTTAAGTCATCTTTTCCTTTATGTATTCAATTATATTCTCTGCTTTAAATGCTTAAAATAAAAATTGGCACAAATCCACTCACTGATGGAGATTTAAAGTTAGAAAGCAGTAACATATCAAATTAAGTGCACAATGGCAGGCTTATTCTCCACACTGAGCACCATCCAAATCAAGATGTTTTTCATTACCACTACAATGGACTTGAACATTTTCACCTTAATCCCAAATCTCTACATTTCAATCAAATAGACTTTGACTTAATAGATGGCAATGAAGTTCAGCTACAATCAGTCTGCCAAACTCAGGTCAGTGCTCTACAATCACCAGATTTCCTCCTCTTCCAGTCTAGGCTTTGAAAACTCCCAAGGTTGCTGCATATTCTGGGACTCCTAATGGGACGCTATGAGATCATTAAACTATAAACAGAGTTAAATGATTACAAGAACAATAATTTGCAACTCCTTTAATCCAACAAGCCCACTTCCCAGGCACAAACATTCATCCCCAAAACTGGTTAATAGTCACAGCTAAAGAATTAAAACACAGACTCAGCACGAGGAGGACCAGTTCCACCATAAGACACTCACATGATAAACATGTACAGTTTCCCTTCAATGCTCCAACTTTATGCTTGCTTTAAATATCCAATAAAAAGCCCGATGGAATTTTAAAAGCAAAAAATTGCTATATCTATGGTGAAATTGTCCCTGCTAATCCTAGTTACATTGGATTTGCAGGGGAAAGGCTCTGACTTGAATTATCTGCCTCTCTGCCATGCTTTCTCAAATGTCGCCATTCATATACATGCTTGCTATTGATAATGTGGATTTACTTATTCTAATATTATACTATAAACTTTGGTGCACAGAAGAGTATGATAAAACATCTTCCTGGTACCAATAATCGTTTCCTAAAATAAAACAACCCAGAAATGCGTGTCTTGGGGGGCGGTGGGGCGGTTAAACACATTGTGAGAAAATGAAGAAACATAACTTTCTTATGCCAAATTCCTCAAAATAAAGACACATAAACACGGATGGGAGGCATTTTAGCCACCCTCCCCACTGTGGCTGGCTCTGCACGTCCTGGTATGTATTAATTAATAACATACTTTCATGATACACTATTCTGGCAGTGCATATACTTAGAATTATTTAGTAACTATTCTTGAGAGCAATAGCAAGTAACACTGTCAGTCGGAAACAAACGTAGCAATTCAAAAATAAACACAAAGTAGCAACCCACAGGTTAAGCGAAGCTGGCCCAACCACACCTTTTTCTAAAGCAGACCGAAATTCAGACTAATTCTCAAACAGCCACTTTTCCCCCCAGCAGCATACTGTTGCCAGCACTTCACTATATTAAACCCGGACACACTCCTACCCAAAGCACCAGTGCTCCAAACGGAGGTAAAAAGCACCTATAAACATGGTCCACGGCCACCATCCTACTTGTGTTTATAGTGCCCCACTGCCGTAATTACGGAGCTGCGACTAGTAACGTAAACAACAAAAGGATATTTACAAAATCAGACAAAACGAAACTGTAGGCTGGTTACAACGGAGACTGTAACTTCACTTTCTGTTGAGAACTTGGGGCGGGGTATTTGGCGCAGTGGCGTCTGCAGTTCAGCTGACATTCTTAATAGCTAACGATGTCAGTAAGTTAAGGTGAACTTCAGTAGATGAAGCAGTAAACTAATACAAAATAACCGTTTCTCAACTTTTTAAGTCATTCCAGGTAAACACAGTCACCTTCATTTTATTTCACCTTTCCCAAGCTCCGCTTGGGGGTGGGGGGCGATGGGACAAATAAAAGACACTGAGCCGTTTCAACCAACTCCGTTAATTTCAGAGTGCAAACAGCACGTTAGCTTTCTGCCACTTCCCTTACGCTGAAAAGGACACCAGGGCACCCCCCGAAATCAAGAGCAGGGCAGCAGGCTGAGGCTTTGCCCCGACGCTGGCCGACCGCAGTGGGTAAGGTCACGGTCGAAATTCACGAGCTCATTGAAACAAGCTCAGCCAGCACCGCCTACCACGTTTCCCGACCCCATCTAGGCAGATTAAATCGACAGGAGTTTCCCCGCTGTCACATCAGCAGGGCGCTGTTGGAGCCCTCACACCGCAGTCCGCAGAGTCCGCAGCCGCGCGCCTTCTCCGTCCCCGGCGTGCGCCAGGCTAACTCCCAACGCGCTCCCCGCCAGCCTTCCAGGCCACCTCCCAAACGGAGGTCACTAACTCTAGACCACCTCGAACCCGCGCCCGCCGGGCCCCTCCGCTGTCACCGCGCTGGCCGCCCTTCCGCAGTCGGTGACTCTCGCCGGCTCCCCGGGATGGGCGGGGGAGGGGAGGCTCCCCGCAAGGAGGTCTGGAGAGGGCACAGCCGCTGGGCGGTGCGGGAAAGGACGGGGGAAAGGCGCTCGGCTTCGGGGCCTTATTTACGTTGCCTTTTTTCTTTGGAAAAAATAATTCCCCCTTGAATCCCGATAATACTGCCTTTAAAGGAAAAACAGAAAGCCGAGCTCTCCAGCGGCCGCCCCAGTCTTCTGGTTCACTCCAGTCCAGCCGCGGGAGGCTCCGGACGCCCTGCCAGGGCCAGTACACCTGCCCACCGGCGCGGGACACGCGGGCCCGGGTCCCAGGGAGGCGGCGGCCGCTCCTCCGCCCGGGCGGACGGCCGAGGCGGAGTCGGTCCCCGCACAAACTTCCACTGCCCGCTGGACGGGCAGCCGCCGGCGGGAGGGCGGCTGCGGGCGGCAGGCGCGGGAAGGCTCGGAAGCACAGCGACCGCCTCTCTCCCCGCACCCGCTGGGCTCCGAAGGGGCGCGAGCGGGGCCGGAGGAACCCTGGGGGCGGACGCGGGTCGCGGGGCCAGGGCACCCCAAGAGGCGAGCAGCCGAGGGCCCGCGACCCGGCCGGCCGGAGGTCCCCGCCCTGCCACCGCTGCAGCGGGAGGCGCGGGGCGGGGAGGCTGAGCCTGCCGAGCGCGAGCAGCGCCGCAGAGAGCCTTACCGAGTGGTTGACCCCCCACATGAGCACGCTGAGCAGCGGGTCGCTGGCCCGGAACAGCTTCACTTTCTGAGCCACGAAGTGCTTCTTTTTGGTCTTGGTCTTGCTCGCCAGCACGGACGCCAGGTTGCCGGGGGTCGCCATGGCCGCGGTCTAGGTCCCCTCCACCGCCGCGCGCCGAGGCCGGGGACCCGCCCTCCCTACACGCCGGCCCGGGCAGGCAGCCGCATCCCCCGGGGCGGCCGCCGCTGCGCGCCTGCTCCGGCCCCGCTCCGCCCGCGCTCGGTCCCGGGAGCTCGCTCCGCCCGCTCCGCGCGCCCGGCCGCCCAGGCTGCA